TTGATTCTTGTGTTTTAAAGCATTTGGATGCTTATGGTTGACTTATTGATTAATTGTGATTAATGTATTTGATACTTGTGATTTGACTACGTGATACGTGTTGACTGTTGACTTATGACCTAGGACTGTGAATATTGAGCCTTGTGAATTGTTTATGGTAGAACTGTTAGGTTGGACTGATTTTTGTGCAAGTTGTAGTTTGAGGAGGTTCGGTTGGAATGGAAAGAAGTATCTTATTTCTAGCTAGGTTGCTTTGTTTATTAGGTTTCTTGTTGGGTACCGTGTTGTTGGTACTCACTCCTTGCTTCTACACTTGTATAGGTTCCGAGCCCGAATCCGTGTGGTTTCCTTCTTCTTATTTTGATTCCAAAGCTTGCCAAGGATTTGAAAGATAGCTGCTTGTAATCCGGACAGATCCTCTTGTTCCTTTACTTTATGATTTGTTCTATTTGAGAAACAAAAACTATGAGACTTGTATTTATCTTTTGAGTTATGTTTTTACATTACTGGCTTGTACATGTGACAATCATGTTTTGGGGTGTTTATAGATGAATAAGTTTTCCGTCTTTGTCTTATTCTTGCTTTATCTTCCTGTTTTTCTTTCGTTTTGTTGGGTTGATGTTGACTTATCTTGGTGGGAAAAGAAAAGTATAATCACGTCCATTTTTGGATCATGACATACATAGAGAACAATAACTTGTTAGCCTTACAGTTTAGCTAAGAAGTGATGAGAATTAGTGATAAATAACTTTTTTAGCTAAACAATAAAATTCATCGTTAGTCTTATTTAGCAATGAATCATAATAAATTTTTGTAAGCTACAAACAAATTAGAGAGTGATTAGTAACGAACTTCATAGCTAATTCTCATATTTTTGGTTGTGAATTATGTAAGATTTCGTGTTCTTTCTCTCCACTAAAGTGGCCGTGAAACTATCATGCCTAGGGGTGTACAAAACCGAACCAAACGGCAAATCGAGTCAACCCGAAAAAAAACCCCGACTAATGGTTTGGTTTGACTTGGTTTGGTTTTGAAAAAAAAAAATCCGACTATATTTGGATTGGTTTGGATTTTAATTAAAAAAAACCAATCTGAGACCAAACCAACCCGACATTATATATATAATTTTAAAATTTTATTTTATACATAAAAATATTTACTTTGATATAATTTTTAAATATTTCTTATACTTTTTCATAATTTTTATCTTTTAATATATTATTTCAAGTTTGAAACTTAGAATTATGAATGAGCCAATAAAGATTATAGTCCACAGATGTTGGTAATTATAGTAAAGCTTAAATCAAAATCAAATTAATATTAATGCAAAAAGAAAATCAATTCAACACTAAGAATGACAATAATATTGAATATTTGTTCTTTAGTTTTACATTGGTTTAGACAATTAAAATACATAATCTAATTTTAATTTCCTTTAATATTTAGTCATGTAACTGATACTTATTAAACTTAATTTTAGCATGATTTATTACTTTTAAATTATGATCATTTTCATTATGACTTGTTAATTTGCAATATTTGTTTTACGCGATTTCATTATTGTTATTTTTGTTTGATATTTTAGTGTCATTAATCATATCATATTGTATTATATTTTTAAGAAACATCTTAGATTGTTGTATTTTGGTAGGACTAAAAAAATATTTGAAGTACTAGTAAATTATATGTTTGTATGAATACTTTACCGGAAAAACCCGAAACAATCCAAAAAATCGAAAAACTCGAAAAAACCCGAGGTTGAAAAACCCGAGTTTTATTGGTTTGGTTTGGTTTATAAATTTAATAATTCGACACAAATGGTTTGGTTTGATATTTAAAAAACCCGAACCAACCCGGCCATGTACACCCCTAATCATGCCTTTGCTTAATAATCAAAATAATCTATATTAGTGTGATCAAGAATTCTATTATATTGTTGTTTGCAACAAATTCTAGAATGATGAAAAATAAAATATGATGAAACTGTTATTATTCATAAATTATTGTGAGGATAATTTTGTTTCTCTTCGATTTTTTTAAAAGATTAAGTATTTATGAAATAATACAACTATTTAGAGAAGACATAATATAAATAATATTTTCCAGTTTTATTTAATTATTATTATTATTATATATAATACTAAAAGTGTATTTTGATCTTTTTTCACTTTTCTATATAGGGTTTACAAAAGTTCAGATTTATAAATAAACAGATAGATAGATTGACTAACAATATAATTAGTTACTAATATACCTTAGATTCTTAAAAATTGTACTTCTATCACAATTAAGTAATTACAATACTATTAATTAAGCTAATATTATTTTAATAATGCCCTTAATATAGAGTGTTTCATTTAAAAATAAAATATAGGTGCTATGTCTACAATTGAGTTGAATTATAGGAGTGTAGTGTAATTTAGCCTTCTTTAAAAAAAAATTAAAAATGGTTTAATAAACCCCTCAACTTTGTCATTTAGAGTTGTATACCCCTTATTATAAAAGTGACTCATATATATCTCTATTGTTAAACAAATAGCTACATTCATAACGATATGCGTATAACTATTCTATTTTAAAAAAAATAGAATAGTGATGTAATTCAATTTGTGTGTGCCACATTTATTTTGACAGTTACATTATAGAAGTCCTATAATTATTATGTTCAAAAAATTTAGAGAAATTAAAAGAAATTCAATTCTGACAGCTGAGTATACTCACCAATAATTGGCAAGGTCATTATTTATCATGTACACAACTAGCACTAAGTTCCAAACTTTCTTTGACCTATATATGTACTTATAAAACATTGCCAAATGGTCGGGGACCTAACATCCCATTATTTTAAGTTTTTAACCTATCAATCTATCACGATCAATTTTAATTAGAAATTTCAAATTTAAATCTTATCGAAGATAAAATTATCTTTATTAGGACGTTTTATTTTTATGATATCCTTATTGTTATAATGAAGTTGTTTGGATCTCTCTATGATTTTGTGGTTGTTACCTTCTATATGAAAGATTTTTTCAGGTTAGATTTGGTGTACTTTTCGTAACATAATAACATTATTGTAATTTACTTTTTCTAAAAGAAAAATACGAATTCTTGATCATATTTAACTATTTTTTTCTTTTATAGAGAAATATTTTAGATTCTATAAATTGAGGCTCATTGTTTCAAGACCTAAGGGCCTTGAAAGTCTTGTTTAGGACGAGGATTTGTGAGACACAACTCTTGTAAGAGTTAGTGTTTCAATTAATTTTTAAATAAATTCATTTGTTAAAAGTTTTGAAATATACAAAATACATGAATGTAATTGTAATATTCACTTTTGTTTTAATTCTACGTTATAAGTTTTCTTTTCAATTCATGAATTTATAACAAATACAATTTAATTTAAGTCTTTTCTTGCAAAACTTTTATTCTATAAATTGAGTTTCTTTTGTTTGAAAAGATAAGCACTCAAAAAACTATTTTCTCTCGAAAAACATTTGTGAGACATTAGTCAAAGGTGATATCACAAATTCAAAAATAGAAGAGCAACATTCTTGAATGCTACTTGTTTTGTGGCTTAGTTGAATCTCGAAGATAGAGTTTTTATTTATTCTTTCGTTTGCTTGTGAGAGAGACTCCAACTATCTTCAATAAACGTATTAACGTGTCTCTAAACCAAGCAAGTTTTATTTTGGATTCTTTGTACTTTTATCATTCCTATTCTAACAAGTCTTACACTGTCAATTGTGTGAACCTCTTTCTATTGTGAGTGAATTTTGAGTAAATCTTATGAGGTTATTTCTCTCGATATTTTACACTCTCTTTTATATAGTGGATTGTTCATCTCTTTTTGTGGATCTAGATTGATTAATCAGATCAGCTAAATTATTGTCTTTTTGGTATATTTTTTTATTTTCTTACATAACGTTTTTTATATTTGTTTTGTTAGTTTCCGCATGATACATATTTAGTATACTTTAATAGGAATATCAAATATGAATGAAATTTTTAAAATAAAATTGATAGTTATGAAGCACTCATGTCACTTGTCAATCCATGTGCTACAAGAACCATCAGTAATATCTCTTCTCAATCAATCTAAAATAGTAACAACTCTAGCAGATACATATCAATGTATACCATCACTTTCTAATATTGGTCATGCCTTCCCCATTGAGAAAAGGTCAAGATTGAAATCACATGAAAGGTGAAACAAAATTGATGAGTAGCTGTAAACAACTGTAAGGGAAATAGATTTAACTTATGTACACGAATTGCAGTTAATTGGTTGGTGGGATAAAAATTAATTATCCCAGGATTAACTATGAGGAAGTACGACAAAATATTCTAAAAAAAAGAGAAGACAATAGTTATAATAAAATAGTGTGATGATCAAAGTACAAGATGCAATAGAAATCAAAGGACAAGAAACTACCGGAGAAATACTACGACTATTAGTATGGAGGGTTTTCCACGAAGAGCTTCTCGCTCTAGGATTGAAGGTGACAATCCAACTTCTATTGAAACAAAATGAAGGTTCATCCATAAGGCTAATTAGGCAGCGAATGAGCCAAGGAGAGATCGAGTGAAATCAAAAGCTAGCCTTTCCGAAATAGGAATGCCTTATAATCTTGCCCTTATTTAGTCTTCTTAGGATGAAGCAAGACACCACACTACTACTTACTAACCTTCTACGCTAATTTGTACCCTTCACAACCTCCTATCTAACCTTCTACCCTAATTTGTGTCCTCTACAACCTCCTCCTATCTAACCTTCTACTCTAATTTGTGCCCTCTACAACCTCCTCCTATCTAACCTTCTACTCTAATAAGATCATATCCTCGATATGCTGCAACTGCTCATGTACTCCCAAAATCTAAACTCATAGGAAGTACTCCCAAAATCTAAACTCATAGGAAGTACTCCCAAAATTTTGAGATTATATTCATCATCTTTAGCAACCAGTTCACAACAAATTCAAGTTATTGAGCAAGATTGCAAATGCAAGAAAAGAGAACTAGTTCTTGAAGAATCACTGTACAATGAAGCAAGAAAAGGCAAGTCCATCTTCCTGAATGCATACAGTTTTCCATGTCTTCCATCAAACATTTGAAATACAACTTCCAACTTTTTCATTACAACTTTAGCAGAAAACTACAGTTAATACAACTAAACAACATAGCTACATTCGAAACTTGAGCTATCAGTAACCTCTTCATGTCCAACTTATGGCCACTGGACTACTCACTATATGCTTTCCATCTGACCACTCAATTCGAGCATAAACATTTTCAGTTGACGGCATTGAAGGAGCAGTGAAAGTCACGGTATATGATTTCTGCTCGTTCATCCGAGTAAAAGCCAATGTTTCAGGCTCAACCACGACTTTCACTGAGTTGCTTGGTGAAATAACATTAACTTTGTATGTTCCGGCTGGTCCAACATTAGTAAGCGTTCGTGTGTGTTTGATTGAACTGGAACCACTTCCGCTGCTTGCAGTCATTTGTTCTGGAAATACAACAGCAAATGAAGGGTAATTCAAATCAGCGACACTAAATTTTTTACTTGTTTCGCAACTAAAGGGTCTTCTGGCAACACTATTGATCTGGATTGATGTGTAGTTCAATGCACAGAGGAAATTCAGATAATCATCAGCCTTCAAGTCGTAAACAAGTCCGGGGTTTAGTGCTGCAACAGGATCTACATGTCCTGCACCATGATCAAATGGCGTGGATGGCTTTCCTGTCACAACATCTTGGAGAGCACCTCCTTTCTTGTACACTGTATACGCCGTGGTCATAAGAGCTGAGCGGATAGCTGCTGGGCTCCAATCAGGGTGCGCTCCTTTAAGCAAAGCAGCCAAACCACTCACGTGAGGGCACGACATAGACGTACCCGAAATAATATTAAACTCAACACGTCTGTCGTCCTCGGCCAACCCTGTCGGACCGGCTGCACCTGTCCATCCTGCAAGAATGTTAACACCTGGTGCTATGATGTCTGGTTTCAGAATTTCCTGTGTGATCGAGTTTGGCCCTCTGGAGCTAAATGCAGCAACCACTGGTGATGGTTTGATCCCCACCTTAGTTCCCTCGAAAAGAATAGTGGCTGTCGGATTAGGGTCCGAGGTTAAGTACTTCTTGATTGCTTCCCCTGTTGTCTGTCCCACCGACGTTGCTGGAATCAAATGAGCATCAGCAATTAGCTCATCCCCATTTGCAGCGGTATTAGCCAAGACCATACCAGCTCCACCAGCTGCTTTTACCACAGAACCCTTTTGGACCCTGGGATTTATCCCACGGTCACATAGAACAATTTTTCCTTTAACTTCCTCAGGAATTAAGGTACCCGTCATGCAAAGATTTCCATTTGTCATATTACTAGCATTACCAGCATACACAAAGGGAAGCATTTTGCTTAGTGATGAATCCCCTTTATAGAGTGAAACACCGGAGAAATTCTTACCATTGCCTAGACTTACATATGCAGGAAAATCACGGTCTAATGTTCCTGCACCCACAGTAGTGATCCATGGTGCTACATTGGACAAACTGTAAGGACTAGGACCAGCATTACCTGCAAAGCAACAATAACAATTACGCCTCAATCCAAATCAAGTTACAATCGGCTATATGAATCTGATAAGTTAAAAAAGTAGTAGAAGTTCTCCATAACATCATTACCTGCAGAGCAAGATACTAAAATCCCTTTCTCCATAGCAGCAAAGGCACCAATCGCGATACTATCTCTATAGTAATCTGAATTTCCACCACCAAGTGATAACGAAAGCACATTCACATTATCATCAATGGCTTTATCCAAACCTGCTAATATATCAGAGCTAAAACAACCACCAACCCAACAAACTTTATAGACAGCAACTCTAGCATGAGTTGCCATTCCGCGAGCATTTCCAGAAGCATACCCAAGGAGACTAGCACCCTGAACAACTGAACCAGCTGCAGTAGTAGAAGTATGTGTTCCATGTCCATCATCATCCCTCGGAGATTTCGATTCTTTCGATACATCAATCGGACCCAAAGTAGATTCATAACCTTTAGCAAAGTACCTATTTGACACACAACAAAATTATGATTTCCTCAATTGTTCACACAATTCAATACATTATTCTAAGTTTCAACTTCAAAATCTATGGCAAAATAGAAGCCAAGTAAGTAAAACATACCTGGCACCAATCAACTTTCTATTACAATTCTTGGAAGTGAAATTAGTTCCAGATTCACATTCACCTTTCCATGAAGCTGGAATGGGTCCAAATCCACTATCATCAAAACTCTTACTTTCAGGCCAAACCCCAGTATCAAGCACACCAACAATCACATCACCCATGGCATTCGATTCCGGAAAATAATCAGCACTTACATCAAGACCCAAAAACAAAGGCGTCCTTGTCGTATGAAGTTCATACTTCATCTCCGGCAAAACCGACAAAATCCCAGGTTGATTCTGTAAAGACTCTGCTTCCTCAGCAGTAAGCCTCGCAGCAAAACCATGAACAGCATTGTTGTAAACATACAACATTTCAGCAGAAGCAGAAACTGATCTCAACGACGAATCATACCAATGAGTATGATCTTCAAAACCCTCTGGCATTTGTGATTTCGCCATGTGAATAATGAAATTACTCTTCATCGTCATCCCTACTGAAAAATGACATAAACCCAAAAGAAAAAGAACAAGTATCACTACAAATCTCAACATATTTCTGGGTTTTGCAGTAGTCAGTTCCATTAACAGGTTTTTTTTGTGTGGATATATAAGAAATGTAAAGGGTGTGAAAACAGGAAAAAAGGAGAGTGATGGGAGTAAAGATAGAGACGGTGGTTATTTGTTTGGTACTGTGAATGATTGCATTTTTTTTTCAAATACAAAAAAGTTTAAAGATTACAATTTACAGCCTTGCAAAAAAGAAGAAACAAACAAAGATTTCATTGTTTCACACAGTTTTTTTTTTCTTTTACTTGGAAAATATAAGACCAAATTCAAAGATACGGTCACACTTTATCTACAGCAGATCACTCGGTACTAATTTGGTTGGGTAGTATTTTTATATCCCTTTGTATTAAGGATGAAATAACTATCTCGAAATAATTTATTCTTCGATCAAATAAATTTTTAATAATATTGGATATGGTATATTAGTAGCATTGACATTAGTAAAAATGATATTTTTTAGGGTAAAACTTATCCGTACGGAATGTATACACCAATTTAATACATGCATGCCATGAATTGAATTTATAGTTCATTTTACTTAATCTTAATTAATTAACATGTGTTTTACTTCATCAAATCACATAATAAAAAATTGCATTAATTTGATGTGTACACTCGATGCGGGTAATTTTTTTCCAATTAGTTATATTTGCATTAGTTATCATAAAATTATTTTTATATAATAATTGATGCAGTGTATTAGTATATTTTGCATTATATCTATTTTAAAAAAATTATTTATTTGCAAAATATTATCGGTGAAAAAAATGTGGAAAGTATTTTGAGGAAAAATTGTGTTTTAAACTTATACTAATATCATGTATTTACTAATATCATGTTTTTTTTTATGTATTAGTTATGTATATTGTAATTCCAAATAAAGTATTTAACTAATGAATACATAAAATTTATGCATATATTATTTTTTTCTGGTACACTCTAGTAAACGATCCTTAAAAATAATTTTAGAATTTTATAAGTTAAATTATTAAGTACAAAAATAGAATCGAATCACCCAATAAACAACCCTAAATTGTTGAATATTCTTTAAAAGAATAATTAAATTGTGATATATTTTATTAATAAGTGATTAATTTATTTACATAGTCATGTTAGAGAATACCCTCCAAATATTGTGCCAAAAAGAAAGAAACAAGAAATTAAAATTTCACACTCACACGGATATGTTTTTTCTTTAACACAATGAATGGATCAAGACAATACAAGGGACATACTTACTCTAAAGACAAGTCACTCACTTGGTAATGCAAATTGCTTTTTATTATCCCTATGTCCTAATTTATGTGACTTATTTTTCTTTTTAGTCAGTCTAAAAAAAGAATGACACATTTCTATATGAAGTAACAATTTAACTATAAAATATCTATTTTACCTTTAATGAAATAATTTACAGCTACACAAATTTCTATCATTCATTTTGGACCATAAGTTTTAAGAGTCTTCCTTTCTTTCTTAAACTCCGTATCGAATTAAATTACCTCGCATAAAAATAGAACAGAGGGAGTATTACTTTCTTTTATCTTTCACTTTACCTCTATGTGTAAGAAACCTAGAAAGAAAGAAACTCCACACTACCATCTAACTATTTTCATTTCTTTATACCTTTTTTTCAGACTTTGGTACCAGAAAGATTGGATTTATTCATTATGGTCAAGTGGGGGTCCAATTAGTAAAAGTTGTACACTAATCATAGTATCAAAGCGGAGCTAGGCGGGGTTGAATTCAGAAGTTTTTTTGTAGACTCTATATTTATATTAAAAAATTAATTTAATATATGTGTAATGTTTATATTAATTGTGAAAATTTTATAATTGACATATATAAGATTAATAATTATAAATTATGACATTATTCTTTATCTTTCAAGTTATAACAATAAAAATTTGCATGTTATAATATTTTAGTAAAATAAAAAAGTGATTTAAAATAACAGTAAAAATTAATTAGTGTGAAAAATAAATAAGGTAAAAACGAATATATTAGCAGTAAATAATTTAAATTCATTAATCATAATTAATATGTGGCATAAAAATAGGAGATTCATTAAAAAAGGAATATTTTCCTTGTTTAACTCAAAGAAGTTAAAATTCGTTCAAAACATATTTCTTTTGTTCTTTGAACGCTTCTCTCGTTAGTCGTCACTCTCATCTAATTCCTATTAGTTTTTATTCAATAATCTTCTTCTTGTAATGGACGGCTTATTACCAGTATTAATAAAGCATGGTGATATATGAGATCCTTCAGGTTAGTGCTCTTTGCGATTTTTTATTTGTATTTGTATACTAACCAAACATAAAAAAAAATTAAGAACAGTGATACTGGAAAAAATATATTCAATTTTTTTTTTTGTATAATATTTAATTGTGGCGTTTTTGGAATGAACATTTTTTTAAAAAAAATTATATAAAATTTGTTTGAAAATGGTATAGATTTTCGTATGAACATTTGTTCTTTTTTTTTTTTCTATGTTTCTGGTTAGTAAAATTACATAAAATTTATTTGAAATTGGTATACTGGTTATACCATGTTGGTACGATTTTGACATTATATTTGAATGATTTTGTGTACTCATTATCTAATAAATGACAATTAATAGGTAGAATTAATATTAATTTGGTATTATATTGGCATGATTATTCTGTGAAAAATGACGACTTATGTGAAGAAATAGTTATAATTTTAGCATGAAATGTGTATGAAAAGTGTGCATAAAAATTGTATGAAATTTGTATACTAATTTCATATTATTTGTTGTGTATAATAATTTTAATTATGATGTTTTTTTTAAATGTATAATGTTATATTTTTGTATGAACATTGAATTTGTTCATATTTGTCTGGCTCATTTTTTATTTGACGTGTGACAATAAAAATGGAACATGAATCAAGGTAAATCCCTAAAAATGGGTAAGAGATAGTTATGATTGATTCTTTATTTATATCACCTAATAATAAAAATATAATTATAAAATTTTAATTATTTAATAAAGTGTAATTAAATTGATTTATAAATAAAAAGTGATCTATTATAACCTGCAATCAAAATATTATAAGTAATAATATTTTAAGAGTAGATTTAAAATTCGTAATATTGCCCCTTAAATGTATATATGGGGTGATTTTTTATGTACCCCTAATAAAATTGATTGAAGGTTATTAACGAAATTTAATACCTCCAAACTCTTAATCCTGACTTCGCCTCTGAATTAGTACCAATATACAGAGATCTTTGGAGTTATATCAAGAGTGATATGATTAGAAATGAAAATATCTTAAATAAGTTAGAAGTGATTTTAATAGATTATAAAGATGAAAAAATTATTTAAACATATAAAATGGAGATACATAGATTTTCTCTGAGGTGTGAGAGATTAGATTTGATAGTTAGAAAAGGTAAAAATGTAAGAAGAAAAAATATTGATGCCTTGATAGAGTTACTTTCTTAGCTTTTGTGATTTTGATTTTTGTTAGTATCTATTGTTTTTTGTACTTAGAAGTTTTAGTTACTATGACTTTTTATTTTTCAGTTAACTTTTGTCTTCTTTTTTAATTTTTCGAGTCAACGAACCATCTAAAACAATTATTCTATCTCCTAAGACATGAATAAAGCTTGTATATATTCTATTTATTTTTTTCTAAATCTCACTTCAAAACTACAATAAATATATTATTATGAAATAAATTATTGTGTGTTAATAAGAGTTAATTATTCTACAATTTATCCTAATCAAATATGAAATAAAATTATTTTAAAAGTTAATCTTAAAATTAGTTATTCTTTATTCATCATACCAAACAAGTTATAATATAATAACTAACTTATTATAATAAGTTCAAATAAATCTAATATTGGAACATGTTAGTGGTGGCTCACGGGTCCATACATACAAATAATATATGTATGTAAGGGTGGTTTTTAGTTTTTTAATTAGTGTGTGTGAGTTAATAAAAGTTGGATAGTGGGTGGGACGTGGAAGTTTCACTATCCAACCAACTCTTCATGTCTCCTCTATCTTCGAAATTTTTTTGACTCTCGAAATTATAATTAATTTAAATTTGAGTCGAAATTATATTTTTATATAAATGTTAATATTTTTTTAATATAATAATAGTATTCAAGTTAGTTTTCATATTTGAGATATCTTTGAATAATTTATAGGTCATTTATTATCTTCTATAATTGCAAATATCAGGTAGTTTTATTTATTAAAAGTTCAATAAATGAAAAATAAATAAAAATCTAACCGTATTTTTTTGCCTATGCTAATAAATGCTATTTGTCGAAAGAAGAATTCAAACTTAAAACATTTTATTAAATAAAGGATATGTATAAACCAATTCAAAATTTTCTTTATAGATTTTGAATTTTAGAAATGTAACTTATTAGGTTATGAATACATAATGAAAATTTAATATAAAAATATAAAATTATTAAATTTTATCAAATTCGTAAATAAAATTATAGCTCCGCTGCCAAAATATGTATCGTCTCACGACGTTTAATTATAAAGACAATTTATTCTCGACTCTCCATACTTTGTGCTGAAGAAGACAGACAATATTTAGGGTAGGGACCAGAATTAAATATTCCTACTATTACAACATTATTATATTATTGATAAAAGGATATATTTTCTATGTTTTTAATTGCAAGTTATTCTATCAAATAAATTTTATTTGACGTTTTATAAACCTCAATCCTCTAGTATATTGAATGTTAATTAATTGAGATATAAAATGATGAAAAAGAATAGCTTAGTCAAAAGAATTAGTCTAACTAATTAATATTTATCGACGATGTAAATTTTTATTACATAAGTAAATTTTACAAATAACATGTTTTATCATTTTATTTTAATGAAAAATAGTATGTCGATGTCTTTTAGATTAGTTGTCGCTCTAAACGAAGAGCTCGGATAAATCCAACATTTTTTTGCGTAAATCCTATATTTATAATAAAAATGATAGTAAATAATTTATATATATATACTCAAAACGATCCAACCCGCAATGACAGGCGGCCACACTGACCCCTCCGGTGGAAGAACCAATTGTCAATTCAATACGAACTCTTTTATTTTTTTTTATTTTTTTAATTCAATACGAACTCAACT